TAACTTTCTGTGTGGTCTCTTAGAGTGTGCCGCACAAAATCTTCACACACAGTGGAAAACTCCCAGGTTTGTCAGGGTCCTAAGCATCCCCACATGCTCATCTCTCAGGGACAGGCTGCAGCCTAAACATGGCAACCTGAGAAGGTGGTCAGAAAAGGAATTAAGTTCCTGCAGAATCATGTACACGGGGGTGGCTTCTGCCTAAAGTCCATCCATCATTAAGAATCCGGCGTCCCCTGGGGCACCTGAGTGGCTCAGTTGGTTAAAGCATCCAACTTTGGCTCAGGTCATGCTCTCACAGTTTGGGAGTTTGAGCCCCACGTTGGGCTCTGTGCTGACAGCTCAGAGCCTGGAGCCTGCTTCGGATGATGTGTCTCCCTCTCTCTTTGCCCCTCCCCGGCTCGTGCTCTGTCTGTCTCTGTCTCTGTCTCTTTGTCTGTCTGTCTCTCTCTCAAAAATAAGTAAACATAAAAAAAAAAAAAAAGAATCTGGCTTCCCCCAATGGCACCTGAGTCCTCCCTCTGTGTTGACCACATGCTATTAAAGGGATACGAGGAAGTGACAGACATCCCTTACAACAGAACCAGAAGCCAGAGAACATTGGTTTGAGAGTCAGAAACTCTAACCTTGAGTCTCAAACGGGCCCCAGATCATGGCGAGCCCTGGAAAAGTTATATCGTTTGCTGGGTCTCAGTTTCTCTATGTGTGCAACAAGGGGTTAGGTCTAATCGTTAAGGTCTTGTGCAGTGTAGAGACTTGAAATGGGAGGCCTTTCGTAGACCAGAAATCCAGGTTGCTTTTCCAGAGATTCGATGGAGGAAATGAGAATGCACATCTGTCCTCTGTCAGCATTTGCTAGGTGTGAGGATCGAGGTAGGGGCAGGGAGGAGAATGAAGCAGAGTGGTGCCTGTCATGCAGGAGACTCTAGCTGGTAGACAGTTTGAAATCCCAGGCCAGGCGGTTGTCAGGAAATGAGGCATATGGCAGGACGGCTGGTGGGGTGCCTGCTGGCTACTCTGGAGGGCTGGACCGAAGATTACTTGGAGGAGGGAGAAAAGGAACGGGGGATGAGGTGAGAAATGACAACTGCCTTTGATATTGAAAATTTTGCAGGCCTGCCTTCTGGAACTTGGAGGACAGAGAAGCCACTGCCTCCCCCCTGTCTGAGGCTCAGTAAGGGAGCCTTGAAAGAGATAAATTTAGACTCATCAGGAGCCACTTGGCTTCCCACTGTGGGAAGTCAACTGCCTTACCATGTGCCTCCGAGAGGTGACATGGTCTAAGGATGGAAATAATTGTAAAAAAAAGTTTAACTGAAGCCAAGGATAAGAGAGTTTATGTGAAATGGGTGAATCAAATACAATGGTAGTCTGGGGAGTTCCCTAAATCTTGAGGCTGTTGTCAAAAGAGAAAGTGTGGTCTATTCACTACACTCCTTTCAATGAGCAAATCAGGGCAGACATAGACCCTGGCTATTCAGAAACAACTCAAGATTGAAGGGTTGGAAACAATGAGAAGAGTGTTTGAGGCAGAATGAGGATTCCGGATGGGGCTAAAATTCTGTCAGAGACTCCCAGGCTCAGCCTTTACAGCAACATGCTCTCTCTTAATGATCAGTTTGTTGGTAGTAGAAAGGCCAGCATGCTGGGATCTGACCTGAGGTCATGAGCTAGCTTTGCAGTGACTTGTTTTGTGACCTTGCCCAAGTCCCTTCTCCATATGTAAATGAGATCTGGGATTCCATGGAGGTTCTTTGGGATCTAGCATCTTACTTTCCAGTGTGGGTCCTTCTTTTGCACCCAAAGCTAATCTCCACACAAGAGAATGAGAATTAGTACATTTGATCACTTAGTCTGATAGCTGCTGTGAGAAATCAAGCTACATAAAACATACAATGGGTCCATCACAGTGGCTGGAAAGTGATGAGATGACTATGCTTGTCATGGGTGGGACCAGGATTTGGAGCCAGGTCTATGTGGAGACCTGTTCTGCTGAGTCCCCACCCCTGCTAATCTGTATCTGTCCATCTGCAGACTCGTTCCTTGACCAGAAAATGCCCTTCCAACTCTTATCCCTCCCAAGAAGTACTTTTCTTTGCTATCACTTCAAACCCCAATTCATAAGCCTCATCCTCTGAGAAACCCCTTATCATTCCTTCTAATTCTTCTCAAAAGGCTTCACAAAGAAATTCTTTGAAAACTACTGGAATACCGCTTTGCAAATTAAATATTCATGTATTTTTGTCGATTGTGTATGTCATTGTGCAAGCTTGTAAATTCCCTTCTCAAAAAACAAGGGACACTTTCTTTCTTTTGGATACCACACAGCATTATTTTACCTATCAGGGTGCTCAAAACAGAAGTTTCATAAAGTATTAAAACTACAGAAAGTTAGCATTGTGAGTCCCAGTATTGAGTAGTTCATTTGCATTATCCTTAAGTCTCTCAGATTTTTCCAACAAAGTAGCATTCAGCTGCTGTTCGAGCCTCTGCATAGTAGAAAGGAAACTTCACTGGGATTTGAAGGACTCAACTCTGCTACCAAATTGCTGTGTGCCTACCAGTCACTCCTATTACCCTTAAGTCATCCCTTGCTTGACCTTCTCTTCTGCCTACAACTGCTCACTGGCCATTGGGCATTATGCCTTTCAACTAAGTATCTTCCAATATCCCCCTTTCTCTCCTAACTGTTCCCATTATCCCAGTTGAAGCCACCAACACTCTTATGTGACTTCCAAAATATACCCCCAACTAAGCCCCCATTTCACACTTTCCCATGCCACCCTCATTGCAACCTACCTCCCACGTAGTCACTATGAGGTTGAACAATGTAATACAACCACTCTTTTAACCCTTTATGAGTTCTCCCATTTACTATTAGAATAAAGACTTGGCCAGCAAGACCCCCATGATCTGCCACTATGTGCTGCTCTGCTCTGGCTTCACCTCCCACAACTCTTCCCTTACTTTCTCAGCCAAAACCACACCAGACTTCTTCCTATCTTAAAGCCAAAGGCGTTTTTTTTTTTTTTTTTTCCTTCTTAGAACATCTGTCTCTGCTTGAAATCTTTCCCAATGCTAACTCTCACTCATTTTCCAGGTATTAGTTAAATAACACTTCATCTGAAAAGTAGACTCCCAAGTCTTATTATTGCTTTCTAATCCAATAGATGCACACCCACTATTCTGCTCCAACTAAATTAGAGCCTACTGTTAATTGCTATCTTGGAACACTGTATCTTTATTCAACAGTACTTACCACAAATTAAATAAGTACATAAGATTACAAACACACACACACACACACACACACACACACACACACACACGTATGCCCACACACTACACGTAGACACCAGAGGATCTCAGGCCACTTTTATCTTACTTTTCATTGTATCTCAAGTAATCAGCATGGTACTTGGAAAACAGTAGGTGCTCAAGCAGCTGTGGTAACTACACAGGTGAATGTTTTAGGGGGTTCACATTTCCATGCTTGTTCTACAAACCAGGAAGTGACAAGGTATACTGGATGAAAAGACAAGAGCAAGACTTTGGAGTCAGCCAGATTTACACCTGATTCTTTGCTCTGCCTTTCACTGGTGACCTTGGGAGAGTCACTTTACCTCTCCGGTGTTGACATATGAGCTGCAAAATGGAGGCTATGGTGCCTCCCAGGGTGTTAATAATGAAGCTAAAATGGTATTATCCTGCCTCTCTCACTTCCTAGAAGGGATATTAGGGAGAATCACTTAACATTTCCATTTTTTTTCTGTATAAAGGGGATGAAAATAGACCCTGCTTCTCAGGGCCATTGTGAGGATCACATAAATTAATAGATGGTTAATAGATGGCAAGTGCTTAGAATGCCCTCAGCATGTGCTGAGTTAGTATCATCACCACCATCATCATCATTACTGTTATTATTATTATTAATACTAAACATACTTGGTAAAGAGTTTGACATGGAGTATTTCTTAATAAATAGTGGTCATGATTACCACTCCTACTATAACCACTATTATTAATTAGATGATGGAATGGGGATGATAATGATTATAATGGTGATATTTCTTCCCAATTCTGACTTTTGTTGACATGACCTCAAAATGCTAGGGTGAACCCTGCCCTGTGATAATATCCTATTACATTTTCATGCAAAACTGTCTAAAAGTACTGTTTTTTTTTAAAAAGATAATCATTCTTTATACATAGAACAATGCTTCTCATTCTACCATCTTTTGATTCTTCAGATTGTGAGACGTGATAAATCCTGCTTCTTCAGATCTCTCAGGGAGGCTTTCATAATGACGCTGCATGTCTAATCTTCATATAATTTGGCCAACTCAATCCTCATTCTGTTTGCTCTTATATGAGAATGGTCTTATCTTTTAATTTCATAGGTACCTCTATATTTATTAACAGAGAAAGAGGTCTTTGACATTTTGTTGAGCAAAAAACAGCAATTTCTAAACAGCTTTACTGAGATTTAGTATGTGTGTGTGTGTGTGTGTGTGTGTGTGTGTGTGTGTGTGTAGATAGAGAGAGGGAGAGAGGAGTTTTAAGAATGTTCAAGAAAATGTTAATTCTGGATATTTCTGGGTGATGGGAATTTTATTTTCTACTTCATTAAATGTCTTTATTTTTTAACTGCCTGAATAGCCTACATAGGATACTTATTTTTTAATAGACTGAAAGATTAATTTAAACATTTTAAAATTCCATTAACTGTACTTATAGGATGATTTAAGGCTGAATTAAAAATATGTGGATAGAGTTAGAAAAATGGAAGGGCAGGATAAATAAAGGCTAGGTCAGTGGAAAAGGAACCTCATGGAATGAATTTTGCTAACTTGTAACACTTCATTGGATAGGCATCAATAAGCCTACAAAGATACTGGCCAGTCTAACAAAGGTCAATTCCATGGTGCCCATGGCTTCCGCCCCCTGCCCAGATTTTGGGTCAGTGATCCAACCAGTGAAGTGCGAGTATCTGCCCATACCTAAAGGTCATCTGGAAGACTTGGCCTTGGTTCACATGCTGGGTCCGGTTGTTGTAACCATGTAGCATCTCTCCAAAGAGGGTGTCGTTGAATTTGGAGTCGGGTTTGAGGCATTTGGGGCCCTCGCAGACATCTGAGAGCATTAGGCAGGATTTTCCATCAGGAGCCAGCTTGTATTCCTCCACACAACTGCACAATAAAACAGAGCCGAGAGTTAGCTCCGCATGCTGGATGCCCCCATTGTGGATGACCTAAAACCAAGGCCTCCTTTGCCTGCAAAACAGGTCAGAGTTTAGGAATGGAGACAGCTATTCTGGCTGGAATCTATCTAGGGCACAGGTGTCTAGAGAGAAGCACATTAATCCTGCAAATTGGTAAATTCAGGGAAAGTCATTTGTGACATTTTGGAGGAGTCAAGGGGGAAACCAGAGTGCACATCTACGCACAAAGCAAATTTAAAAACTGTTTTCCATGAACACACAGACTTTAAAAAGCATGACAGACCAATTCGCAGGGAATTATCAACTAGTTTCTCAAACCAGAATCTATTCCCAGTGTATCTGTCGACCAAGGTTGAAGACTGTAGCAAAAACAAGGTTGTTATTGCCCTTGTAACTCAGAAGTGATCCTTCCAGGACCACGGACAGCTCACTGCAGCCGCTGCTTCTGCTCAATTAGCAATATACCTAGTCTCTGTTGGCCTCTAACTACCCAATCCTAACAGCAGAAGGGCCTTTGACATGCCTTTGAGTCAGGGACTAAACCGGTCCTCCTCTGTGGACTAAATAGGCATCTGAATGGAGTGTGGAAATAATATTTGCAATCTGGGGATGTTTGTAGTGAAAAAGGAATCTCTTAGGCATGGGAAAGAGGAGGAAACAAAGGTCTCAGCTCCTGAAAAATCAATCCAGAAATGGGAACTCTTTTAGTCTTTACATGTTCATGGCCTTTGGCTATGCACTGGGAAAAGGGTGCACATAAGAGATAAGACACACAAGAGAATAGGCTGCTCCACTGAAAAAACTTGTATAAATATCATCTTTGCTCCTTTGGACCTATGTGAACCCCAGCAAGTCATTTAACTTCTTTGATCTTCAATTTCCTCATCTGTAGAATGGGGTAGAAACTCCTACCCTATATTAATTCATTAGGCTGCTATAACATCCTTGGATACATTGGCTGCAAAAAGAGGAATTGAAAGGTACTTCGCAAAATAATTACAGTAATGATGGAAATGGTGGTGTTTATTGAGCAGACACTTTCCATGGAAATTTCATATATATCTATTTTTAAATGTTTCTTTTTGAGAGAGAGAAAGAGAGAACACAAGCCGGAGAGAGTTAGAGAGAGAATCCCAAGCAAGCTCCATGCTAAGCCTACTGTCAGCACAGAGCCCGACGCAGGGCTCTACCCCATGACACTGAGATCATGACCCGAGCTGAAATCAAGAGTTGGGCACTTAACTGACTGAGCCACCCAGGTGCCTCTTGTATATTTATTTTCTGGCCATGAAACAAGTTAATTTCATCATTCCTGCTTTACCCAGAATAAAAATGAGGAGACAAGCAAAGCAGGTCACACTGTAAGCAAGAGGCAAAGTGGCATTCAAATTTGAGTCTGTTTAGCAACAAAGGGACCTTTTTCTACTCTTGTCTTCTCCAAATCCAGTTGTTTCTACTTGCATGAAATGACCCTGGGTAAGGCTGTGCCAGTTAGAGGCAGTAGAAAGCAGGCAAGCTCTTATTTGTGAAAATCTATTGACTCTGACTGCAGAGAGACTCAGAAACTCATACAGAAGAAGGGAGAGGCTCTATGCGATGGTTTGGGAAAAAAATATTCCTAGGTTGAAAGAACCAGTAGCTGATGCCAGACACGTGGAACTCAACTGAAGGCAGGAAGCAAATAGGAGGAGCTGAAATGCTGACTCAAGATCACTCTAGTGAAAAGCCAGGAATGTCTCCTGCATAAAGCAAGCTGTCACTCTTCCCTTGTTCTCTTATCACCTCTAGTGTGTTGAACAGATGCACCAACTGTCCTTCCTACATGCTTCTGCCCAAGTACAGCAGAAGGTTGTTGGAAGAAGGCCTGTCCTGGTGCCTTCATCAAGTCTATCCCCTCTTCTTTTTGCATTTATTAAATGTAAGTAACTCTCCCTTGATAAAGGTGGAGTACACATGACATGAGTTACATGAATGCACAGAGTGTATGGTAAGTTCCTAATGAAGTCTAGTCCCAGCCATCTATTCCCAGCAGGTTCCCAGCAAATATGAGAAATGGTTTACTGGAGTAGAGCTTCCTCTCTTTATACACACACACAGACACACACACACACGCACACATGCATGCACCTGTGAATAAATATACTCTTGTTATAAATGATTAAACATTATCAAAGTCTATAGAGTTCTTCATTTCCACTCCTCACATATTTTTACTTAATATCAGTAGTCATCATTGTTAACTATTATGTATTCTTCTAGGTTTTTAAAAATACATTTATAAATACAATATTACACATATAATTATATTATATATATAAATTTTTCATAATAAACTCGTAAGTACACCATACATTATTATAAGATATGCATTTGTACTTAATACTATTTCTCAGAGATCTTTTCAAACCAGTATTCATATAGATCTATCTTTCTGATGGTTATTTGGCATTGAACGGTATAAATGTACCATAATGCCTTTAGCTACTCTTTATTAATGAGCATTTTGGTTGTTTATAGATGTTTATTATTGCAAATGGTATCATAATGAAGATCTTTGTACATATATCATTCTGTACATGTATGTGTTTCTACTAAAAAAATCTTAGAAAAAGGATTGCTGGGTCAGTGGTTTATGAATTTAAAAATTTTGGTAGATTTAATAATGGCTGTCTGTTGGGGCTCTACCAGTCTCCAATCCTATCACTGATGATTGAGAAAGCCCATTTCCCCATAACTTTCATGTTCATTATCACCAATATGGGATTGGAAAAAAACTCATTTTTGTTTTGCTTGGCATTTCCCTGATTACTGCTGAGGTTCCCCACCTTTTGATGTCATGGCCATGTGTATTTCTCCTTCTATAGGTTGTCCATCCATGTGCTTTAACCATTTTCCTATTGTGATTCTTGTCTTTTTCCTTATTGGCTTATGTATGCTTTGCATATTTTCTGGAGTTCTCCTTCTCCTTTCATACATATTGAAATTTTCTTTCATTCTGTACTTGTGTTTTAACCTTACTTTTGATATCTTATAACCTCTCTATCCTGGTCCTTAACTGCTTCTGAATTTGGTGCAATGCTTAGGAAGCGACAGATGATAAAACACATTTCTATATATTATTCTAGTATTTATATAGGTTTTTAAAAAATCTTTGGTTGTTTAATCTGTATGGATTTAATTTTGTGCATGATGTGAGTGGTTATTTTAACTTCATTATTTTCAAAATGAGTAACCATTACCTGAAGGGTCCATCTGTTCACTAACTAATGTAAAATACTATTTTCTCATATACTAAATCACTATGTATGCCATGTACACATGGTTGGAATTTTTCCTATTTAGCTGTCTGTATTTTCCTGCAATAATTCTATACTACTTGAGGGGTTCCTGGGTGGCTCAGTCAGTTGAGCATCCAACATCAGCTCAGGTCATGATCTCAGGGTTCATGAGTTTGAACCCCACATCAAGCTCTCGGCTGTCAGGGGAGAGCTTGCTTTGGATCCTTTGTCTCCCTCTCTCTTTGCCTCTCTCTCTCTCTCTCTCTCTCTCTTCCTCTCTCTCTCTCCCTCTCCTTCTCCCTCTCCCTCTCTCAGAAATAGAAAAAAACATGAAAAAGATTATATACTACTTGAATTACTGTAGCTTTGAGGCATGGTCTGGATATAGTCAAGTAAGTCTCCTCCCCATTGTAAACACTAATTTTCTATCTCAAAACTTCCTCACTCGTCTTATTATTTTCCCATTCAAATGAATTTTAATTTTGACTTGTCAAATTCCACATAAAACCCTAGTAGAATTTTGGGTGATATCACATTGAATTTGTAGACCAATGTGGGGGGAATTTAAAAAAAAATGTTCCCCTGTAAGAAATACATATTGAGACTCAACTCTATGTTGGGCACCACCACCAACTGTGGCAGAGACAATGTCTTCCATTTGCTACACTGGGTCCTCTTTCTGGAGGTGTACCATAGACTGTGCAACCAAGCTTCCCCTGCAGGTGGGCCAGAGGGGCCACGTGACGGGATTCTGAATGATGGAATCTGTGCTGACGTGATGCAAGCTGCTGCCAGACTCAGACCTTCAAAACATCCTGTCTGATTCTCAAGCCCCCTCTTCTCTTGCTATGGCAAGTTTGGAGAGCATGTGATCGAAATGCATACTTGCAGTTGGAGAAGTTCACCTCAATCACAATGGATCTTGCATGAAAAGCGTATAATAAACTTTTGTGTACACGTTTCCGGCTTGGGAGGCTTCATTTGTTACAGCAACACAGCTGATCTTATCCTAGGATCTTTACAGTTGTGAGTTTTCTAATTCAGAAATAGTTTGCATCTCCATTTATTAAGTGTTCCTTTAATGTTTTTTAATTTTTTTTATTATTTTTTGTAAACACTGTTTTCCTGTTATTTAGATTTTTAAAGGCTCCAAAACCAGTGTGGCTCAAACACCTTTTATTACAATCAAAACTTAATTTTTTATATGAAATATAATTTCTTGTCAAATTGGTTTCCATACAACACCCAGTGTTCATCCCAACAGGTGCCCTCCTCAATGCCCATCACCCACTTTCCCCTCTCCCCCACCCCCACCAACCTTCAGTTCATTCTCAGTATTTAGGAGTCTCTTATGGTTTGCCTCCCTCCCTTTCTGGTTTATATATTAAGCGTTCCTTTAAAGTCTTCTCTGAAGTTTTAGACTTCTGGTCGTAAACGTCTTCTCGGGGCTTATTCTTAGGTATGGGTACAATATGCAGGGTTCCACAGGTTACAGACATGCATTTTAGATGCAGATCACCAGGGGCCAAATCCTGATTTTGTCTCCCATTAGCTGTGTGGCCTTGGACAAAATGCTTAGCCTCTCTGTACTTGCTCTGCTTACCTATAAAGAAGTACTCACCTCAAAGAGCCACTGTGAAGATTAAATGAGATAATGTCTGGAATTCGGTGTACCCAAACTTACAGTCAG